GGCTCAGCCTCTCTGCTCCTATGATGCTGCTTGGCCTGCTGTGTTCATCCAGCCCTGCATCTCTCCAACTTGGTCTGCTTTGGTTGGAGTTGGACAGATTGTCAACCTGTTTGGCTGCATCATAAACACACTTTCTATGGGCAATGATGCTACAGTAGGAATTGATCCCAAGCTTATTACTGTCAAGCCACAATACTTTTATTTGTTCTTGTGCCTGCTTCTAAAACTATCTCTTGCTTGGTTTTGTGGCCCCCTCTGTTTATGTTCTGGTGAGTACTTTGTTCACGCGTTACTTTCTTCGGTACATTTTGTCTTTTCATGATTTATTTTGTATTATAAGTATTACCTGAAATTTCTTTATTTCTTGCATTCAACGTTTTCATCTATCTGAATATATTGTAAAGGCTATCTATTGCCAGCCAGTGGTACTGTTGAGTGATTGAAACTGTAGCATTATTCTAAGTGGTTTGGATCCATTTATTAGAAATGCAAGTATCAACAGAATGAAGTAGGTGTGGAGCCGTTATTTGGAAGAAAGGATAAAACTAGTCTAGTTTCCTAAAATATTAAATATTCAAGGCTTCAAATATACAAAGCTTCAAAGTGTTGCTGTCAACTTTGCCTCTGCTCTCATTGGTACTGATTTTTCTCAAATTTTTGAAGAAATCAGTTTTGTGATATTCTCTCACCTCTCAAGCTTATATTTCAAATGGAGATTTATAGTTTATTTTAAAGTTTACTTCCTGCAGAACTTACCTGTCCTTCATCATTTACATTTAAATTCAATTAAATCCCCATTTCTTGTTTATGGCTCGAACTCATTATGTTGATGCGACTCTCTCCAGCTATTATGTTCCCAGCTGTTGAATTGCATCTCAGTGGTGGTAGTCTGGACTGAGCAGCTTTGCCCATCTTGTTTGGATTTTTTCCTCCAAAGTGTCTATCACGTGTTTGTGCCTACTGTGTATTCAGTATCTTTCCTTACTTCATCCAACTTCTAGTGTTTGAATCCAATGTTTGCCTTGGAAGGATCATACCCACTTACGAGCTGATTCACTCCTTCTGTCTATAATCTTGTGCAGCCTTAACTGGATCCAAAAGAATCCTAGCTTGCAAATATAGTAAAAATTTGAGAACAGTTCAAGGTTGGACCTGAACTGATGAGCAGACATTTCTTTGGGCCTGGTCCCCCTCTCCAATATAGCTATAGCTCCCTTTTCCGCGTCCCTTGTGCCCCCAACATGGAGAGAGCAGTTAGCACTGAAGGATCCTCTAAGCTGCTGTCAAATTTCAAGATTCTCTATTCTTAATGTTACTAGACCATTGCCATTACCCCAAATAGAAATATCTAGCTGTTTCTGCTTGAAGCTCCCAGATAACCCTACCTATGCTACTGCCAAGCCTTGGGAGCCTTTGTCTTTTCAAAACCTAGATACCCTTGGCCACAGTCATGTTTAAGAATTAACTCTTAAATCAGTCTTCATTTTTGATGTATCAGGCTTCCACTTTTATCTTCCAGCTCTTCTCAAATGTTACCATTTGATGGTAATCGTTATAACAACTGGCCAGGCACTGCAACCTTTTGCTAACCCCATAAACATGTTTACATTTGGCTATTAGTTTCCTCTGCTAAGCATCTAAGAGTCCCAAGTAAAATAAAGTGAACAATTCAAATTGGGCCCAGGAGTCTGACTGCTCTGCCACTCAATAAGATATTGTTGACCTGATTGCTGCACAATCATACTTACCCTCATCCCAACACCATTTCACCCACTTACATCTCAAGAATCTGTCAATCCCCTTTTGAGGAAGAGTTCCAAAGACTTACGTCACTCCGCAAAAATAAACTCCCATCATCACTGTCTTCTGTATGTAGAATCTTGATAGCTCTCTGGGGCAGAGGATTCCAAAGATTCACCATCACTGAGTGAAAAAAATCCTTCTCATTTCAGTCTTAAATGGCCTGTAGCTTATCCTGAGACTGTTCCTTGGTTCTGGATGCACAAGACAGAGGAGTACCCTTCCTGCATCTACCCTGTCAATCCCTGTAAGAAATTTGTATGTCTGAAGGAAATCACCTCTCATTTTACTAAACTCCAGAGAATATAAACCCAGTCTATTTAATCTTTCTTCAGTGGGCAATTCTTCCGTCCCAGGAATAGTTTGAGACTTTTTTGCATTCCCTCTACAACACTTGCATCTTACTGTAAGTACAGTGACCAAAACTACACACGGTATTCCAGCAGCAGTATCATTTAAGGCTCTGTATTACTGCAGTAAGAAATCTTTACTCCTCTACTTGCACCTCACGTAGTAAAGACCAACATGCCATTTGCTTTCTTAATTGCTTGCTCTCTCTCTATTTTAATTTTTCAATGATTCATGAACCTTTTGATCTTTTTGAGTTCAAAAATTGTACATGCTTCCCTGTGTGTGCACAGTCCTGAATTTATGCATGACTTAATATGTAAAGTCTACATGATAACTTATAATGTTTGAAACTCTGTGCATGCGTGTTCGTAATTGTCAGTATCAGCGAACGCTGCAAAATCTCATATGAAAGAGAGAAAAATGTTTATTACGCGACTTCTACTAGTTTATAAATGTATCTTATTTGAAGGAAGTTACATTACTTTAGTCTATACTTCTACAGGTACTAACATATAGTTTTCTTCTAGTGGTGTCGGAGAATCCCACAAGTTTCACGATCACAGTAACATCTGACACTGGTCAAAACGAAGAAAGTAAGTGCCTAAATTTGGTTAAATAATGCTTCCCTGTGCTTTATTGGGTATTGCACTGGATTTCTTTTCATTCTATATAAGCTTAAACTTAAAACTTGATTGTTGTCTAAAGCCACATTTGCAATAGAGGAAATATAGAACAGTACTGGAAGTACCCATTTGGATCTTTTAAGGCCTGTAGTTCAGTGCAGCTCGGTAAATTGCTATGTTGTAGTCTGTACAGAATTGAAAGCTTTTACAGGTTCACAATGAAAGTTTAGTAGTACTTTTATTTTTGCTTTATCCAAAGTAAATTTGCAAAGTTTCATGCTATTACTCTAAAATTGCAATTTCTATTGCACAGTTTGTTAGAGTAGTTGGGTTTAACTGGTGATATTCATCATAGAATCCCTATCGTGTGGAAATGGGCCCTTTGGCCCAACAAGTCCACACCGACCCTCAGTATACCACCCAGACTCATCCCCCTATAACCCACCTAAGCTACACATCCTTGAACACTATGGGCAATTCAGCATGGCCAATCCACCTAGCCTGCACATCTTTGGACTGTGAGAGGAAACCCATGCAGACAGGGGGAGAATATGCAAACTCCACACAGACAGTTGCCCAAGGGTGGAATCGAACCTGGGTTCCTGGTGCTGTGAGTCTTGTATTACCTTATGTTCCTGCTTCTATTTGTTGATAGTTGCAATTTTTGTCCCATTCTTAATTCCATGTTATTCAGCTTTTTACTTAAGAAAATCATATGTTAATGGACCAGCGGTTAACGTAGGTCACTAAGTCTGTGGTGTTGGATAGGTAGGATTTAGTGTTGGAGAACTTCTAGGAAGTAGAATTTTGGGTGATTTGAAGTTTATGGAATAATCGAAATTGGAGGAGCAAAGAGATAGCCTGAAGTAATTCTGTGATGATGGAGGTTTTATTAATGACAAGAAAACTCAAACTTGTAGCAAGGGAAAAAACTGATCAGATGTCACATTCTTTATGCCATCACAAAATGATGTTTTCCATTTACTTTAATGTTTCTTGCAAACTGTCCTGATGAGTACACAATTAAAAGCTTTGACAATTTCTTTTTTAAGGAATTCTCTAGTTCTGTACTACCAAACAAATAACTTTTTTAAAAATGTAAGAAAATAGAGGCCTTTGTAATGTGGATGCTAAGTCATTTGCTTAAAATTCCACCTACAGACCATAAGACAAATTGGAAATTGCAAAAGCACCCTAAAAGGTAACCCCCTAGAAAAGAAAATGTCGGTTTTTTTGTCATCTGTTCTAAAGGACAAAGTGGAAGACCGTAGGAAAACATGGTCAACTTGAGGGTAGTTGGATGATGGACTTCAGAGTGATTGCAGAAGAGTTACATTGGATATTTCGGGATGGCATCACGTGTAACATACCACAATAGCAGATCTTCAAATAGTAGGACAGGACATACGCAGAAGTATAAATGGGTTTCAGAACATGGGTAGAAACAGTGATCTTCATGACTGAGGTATATACATTTGGAAGCTTCAGAGGCAGGTGTAAAACCACTGCTGGAGATTTTGAGAATTTGATCAAATGATGAGCAGATCAACAGAAAAGCGGATTTGAACAACAATGGTGTTGTGACTACCAAGGGTCTCTGGAGATGTCAATATGGATGACAGATATTGCGGCACAATTGACAAGCTAGATATTGAGTTAGAGGTCTGGAGAGATAAAAATAGGAATTCTGAAGACAGCAGGAACAAAAAGATGGGAGCTTTTTTGTTAAGGTCTTAGCGAAAATTTGTAGCTCGGGTCATGGATGCAGTTGTTTGTTTGCTCGCTGAGCCAGTTGTTCTGTGGTATGTAGATGTTTTGTTACCATTCTAGGCAGCATCATCAGTGCGACCTCTAATCGAAGTGTTGATGTTCTGCTCTATTCCAAATTAATATGATCCTCTGGTGTGGTGGGTCCTGTCTCTTCCGGTTCTGTTTTTTTTTAGCAGCGGTCTGTACATGGGGTCTATTTCTATGTGTTTGTTAATGGAGTTCTGTGTTGAGAACCAGGCCTCCAGAAGTTCCCTTGCATGTCTATTGTTCGCTTGTCCCAACGAACAATAGTCACTTGTGTCGATACACACAGCCAATGAGGGTGATCAGTTCGATTAGGACAAGTGAGCAACAGACATGCGAGGGAATTTCTGGAGGCCTGGTTCTCAACATGGGACTCCATTAATAAACGCATAGAAATAGACCCTGTATACAGACCGCTGCTGAACAAAAACAGAACCGGAAGAGACAAGACCCACCACACCAGAGGTTCATATAAATTCGGAACGGAGCAGAACACCTACACTTCTAATTTCTAATTTCAAGCTCCACTGTTAGATATGATTTTGAAATTTTACAGCACTTGCGGAATAAGTTTAAATTACACAAATGGCTGCGCTAGCAACAAATTTAGGTGATTGCTCTATTTGGTTCTTTTACTTGCTAAAAGCAATATACATTCAATATAGGATCAGGTTGTTGTAAATAAAAAGATATGCTCTAGTCATCTCTGTTTGAATTACTGTTTGAATTACCTGGAAACTTGGGGAGTCTATGGAAATCTCTGTGGCAATGCCGTAGCCAATCAGAGTTGATTTCTCTTAAAGTTGTCTTTTTCTGTGGTATAAATTTACGGTTGTTTGAGATTCTTGTGTTTTTTCTTGAATCATTGTTTTACATGAATGAACATTTACAAAATTAAGTAAAATTGCAAATTGTGCAAGCTTGAACTCTTAAAAATATCTAGTCGCCCTGTTCTAAATGGAGAGGTAATAGTTAAAAATGCTTTATGGCCTAAACTATACATTAGAAATTTGCCTATTTTGTTAATCCCCCTTTCTCCTAATATGCTTTCTCACTGAAAATTTTGTATCCACTCAAAACCTCACCAGAATGTTGTTTTTTCCCTATAGGGGTGGAGGTTGGATAAGAGAGATTTGATTCATCGGCTGTTGTACAATCTCCCGCATATAACAACGTCATGATTCACTTGTAATCTTAAATGTAATAGTATTCCAAGGCATTTTTTATAAAAGTGACAGAACAGTTTTAATCTGAGGATTCTTAAGAGAGCATAATTAGAGGAAAGAAGTATCTCAAAGATTGTAGGGCTAGAGGAAATTACAGTGACAAAGAGGGGCAAGGTCATGTAGAAATTCGGAAATAAAAATGATAAGTTAAAACCAAGATATTGCTTATTTAACTGACAGTGTAGGTCAGCTGGAACAGGGATGGTGTGTGAAAAGGATTGAGTGTGTCAGGGGTATAGTATATTTGGAGAAGGGGGGATTATAAAAATAGACAAATTTCTAATGTATTGTGCTCATAAATCCCAAGGTGAACATTCAGTCTGACTTTTCACAGAAAAGAACTTGGATATATTTGTTCTGATAAAATACTAATGATTCAAGCACCTCGTACAATAAATGTGCCCAAAGCGCATTTTTTATTGTTAATGCCTTCAAATCCATGTGCTAATCATTCTTTATATGCATTAATTTGGGATTATGTTGCTTGTCAGAAATGTTTGAACGTTTTTGAGAGCTTCTGGGTTTAATTTTTTTACTGATATCTCAGAATTTTGTAGCACATGTTCAACCCACGGTGTTATATGGATTTTCTCAAGTTATTTGTTGTCCCATTCATGTACTTTTTCACTAAGTCTCTAGATGGCAGCTTACATCATAAACTGTGCATGTAGATATGTCAGAAGATTTGCTAGTCTACTTTTCCAAATCTGGTATTAATGTTCTAACTTAGATTTATTTTTTACCTGTACTGCAGTCCAGCTTTAGATTCAGGTCTGTTTTTGCTGTTATACACCATGAAATGGTTGACAAAGTTGGGTGTAGTTTTCAAAGTGAGTATTTTTGAGTTACTGTACATGCAAAAAAATTAATTGTAATGCTTTCAATTATGGAACCTAATCAAGTGCAGCATAGGAAATCATAATAGCTGTGTTGTTATGTCTGTGTCAGTATGTTTTTAAGAGATGGTCATGGTATAATCACCAAATTATTGCTTGTGACATGAAGGTCTCAGACTTCACTTTAACTGAGAGCACAGATCTGTAGAGTAACTAGCCAGAAGACACAGCTATTTTCTCTTTGATTAAAATCCATAATCTTTCAAGAACTGTACATTCCTACAAATCCCTTTACGTAATAATTAATGGCACAAGGTTACAGCCCTGTGCTGAAACAGCATGGACTGTAATTCTGTCTCTCTCCCTGTTCTAAAAAAAATGAACTGACATCCTGATGTTTTTGACAAAACAGGAGGTAATCAAATGGTCCCCACTGCAGAACTATAAAGCTGTCCTCAAAGAAAGTACAGCTTAAAAAAAACTTAAATCAATTTTCTACATCAAGAAGGCCCACTTGTGTATAATGGTTGATTTGGTTTTTCCATTTTTTTTGTTAAATGAACAGAAAAGTAGAGGATAGCCCTCATGCTGTCAACATTCCTTGCGTTAACTCCATCTAGGGCCTGAAACCTGCTACAACAATACAGATTTTTTTTTAAAAAATGGACAGCTTCAAAAGGATTACAATCCCTTAAAGGAGCAGCAGTAAGAAAAGTAGAGGATAAAGCAGCAGAAAAAGGAAAAAAAAAGAAGAGAAGCAAAACCAGAAAGAGGAATGAGCAACTGCAAGAGTTCAAAAGACCATTAACCTGGGATGGCCTGACAGTATAAATATGTACCTACAAAGATGTGCACGTTGCCTGGAAATGCAGTGGGGGAAGGTCAATTGAAGTATTCAAGAGGGCATTGGATGGTTTTATTTTTAACAGAGTAATGGTGTGCTGGGATATGGGGAAAGGGCAGAAATTTGGCACGAGATAATAGAGCCAGTGCAGGATATCATGTGTGTCATACTAGGGACGTTTGGATATTGAATTTTCACGATAGCTAGCATGTGAATCTACATACTGACTGGGGATGAACCATGACCTTCAATGACTTGTGAAAGCATGTGAGGCATGCCACATCTATCAACCCTAACAATGGAGGGCGCATTTACATCAATGAGATGTTCCATTCACTCCTTGGACAAAGGTAGTAACGGAACAATTCAGAGTTCATGAAGATTCCAACCTTGTGATGGGTTACTTGTTTGCTGATTTAATGTATCAATCGCTTTTATGATGACCATTATTTTCAGCTTATTCAGTTCCCTAGAGCAATTTGTCTTGTAACAGAATGCATTTCACTGGGAAATCATTTCAAGATATGTACCAAGTGGAGAATGACCCATATAATGTTGTCACCCCACTATTGATATTCAAGTGGTTATATTTAATTTCACAGCATATACTTTATATTGATAAATCAATGTTCATCAAGTGTTGAGCAACAAAACAAGATTGTTGCATTGTGTTACTGCATTTTCGTATTTCACCAATGGAGAAAGGACGACCATCTTGGCACAGCTTATGCTCAGAAAGCAAGTGTGAGCTGCCTTGCCCAGCAATCAATTGTCTTAGCTGTTCCGAGACGCACAACCTTTTCCAAATTTCAATTTGTGCTGCTGTAGCCTGAAATAAAAGTAAAATATGCTGGAAAAACTAAGCAGAAGTAGCAGGATCAGTAAATTTAGGTCGAATATGATTCTTCTTTGATTTGAAACATTATATCTGTTTATTTCCCAGGTGTGCCATACTGCTGAGTTTTTCTAACACGTACTGTTTTTAGTTTAGATTTGCAGTATTTTTGATTATTATACTGTTATTTATTGACTTTTAAATTCAATAATTGTCTTTTTACAGCTGTTGAAGCAACTATTCAATTTACCTATGTAGAACATTATCCAGATGACCCTCCAATTTTTGAAGTCATTGGGCAAGAGAATGTTCAGAAGTCTGATGTTGCAGATATAATAACATTATTAAATGAGCAGGTTAGTGGACTAGAGATACCTGGGAAAGATTTACCTTTTGGTGCCTGATAAGTCATTGTGCATTAAACTCAATTGATGAAAACTGACCAAAGTATTGCACTCCAGTGACAGCTGGTTTTCTGCTTATTGTGAATGTGTGATTATTGACTGAACTAGAGGAGTGCAAACAAAAGCTTACAATGAAATGTTTCACCATGAACAAAAAGGAAAAGACCCAGCTTTGCTATGAAATGTCAGATTTAACACAGTACTACAAACTATTTTGAACACAATTATATTCTCCTAAGCCTAATGGAGAGCCCCTTAAATTACATGGTTGGGAAATAATGGAGATGGGTCTTCAGTCCTACCACTGATCAGTACGCAACCAGACACATCACGTAAACATAGCGGCTACAAGAACAGGCCAGAGACATTGGAATACTGTGGCAAGTAACTCATTGCCTGATTCCCAAAGCCTGCCCACCATCTACAAGGCACAAGCGGGAGTTGTATGGAATACTCCCCACTTGCTTGGATGGGTGCAGCTCCAACAACACCTAAGAAGGTTGACACCATCCTCAACAAAGCAGCCTGCTCGATAAACACCACATCCACAAGTATCCATTCCCTTCACCACTGACACTCAGTAGCAGCAGTGTGTACTGTATACAAGATGCACTGCAGAAATTCACCAAAGATCCTCAGACAGCACCTTCTAAACCCACGACCACCTTCATCTAGAAGGACAAGGGCAGCAGACATATCAGCATACCACCACCTCCAAGTTCCCTTCCCAAGCTATTCACCATCCTGACTTGGAAATACCTTGCTGTTCCTTCACTGTCACTGGGTCAAAATCCTGGAATTTCCTGCCCAAGGGCATTGTGTTCAACCTATAGCATGTGGACTGCAGTAGTTCAAGGCAGCAGTGCGCCACCACCTTCTCAAGGGAAACTAGGGACGGACAACAAAAAATGCTGACCAGCCTGTGTCATGCACATCCCAAGAATGAATTTTATTAAAAGCTTTGTGTTGTCGGTGACAATTAAAATATTTTGTTTTGTTGACTTTGCTTTCGCTCCTCATTTGCTACCACTTAAGGCTGCTGTCATTGCCTATTCTTACAAGACAGTATCAATATCCTTTTATTGTCACGTGTACTGCATTGTAGCAGTACTTGGAAGACTTTCACAAGATGTCACCATGAGATGGTAAATATTAGGTACAAGTACCTAGATACAGTTCTTGGATGCAGCAGGGGAATAGAAGTAGTTGCTTAATTACAGAGTTGAAAATAAGTTTAAAAATAGGAAAGTATTAAGGGGTTAACATTACATTGTCCTAAGGTAAGGATTGACCCCTCACACTGGTCTCTGTCGAGGACTCGCTGCTCTGGGGCTGCTTCCCATGTGCTGCTGCGAGACTTCTTCCCCGCGCTGCTCCAGGCTCACTGCCCATGTGCTGCTCCAGGGCTCACTGCTTATGGTGTTCTGGGGCTCATAGGGTGTGCCTGCAGGCCCGAGAGCACATGGCCACACTCCTCGTACCGGTTCTGCCGTGGGACTTAGCCCGTGCTTGCTCCGGTCCTCCGCGGGACTTGACCCATTTGCTTGCAACCTCCACTCTCCAGGGAGTGGTGGAGTGGGGTCGGAGAAAGAGAAAACCATAAGAGGAGAGGGGGTTTAAAAAAAGGGGGAAAAAAGGTAAAGGGACTGGCGAGCAGAGGAGCTCCGACCAGACCGTCCTATTCTGCCACCATCTTCTTGACCAATTATGTGCAACCTTTCAATTAATTTTCTTTGGTCAGACTGCAAAATGACAGGTAAGCTAAAGGAATGGAGTTTGTGTTGGAAACGGGTGAGCAAAGTATCATTGGTGAATTATATTTAACTTGAAAGAAGGAATGCTTACTTGAATGTGAACACTTATTGGTTTCATATCACAATAATGCTTTTGGCTTCTGTAGTTACAGGGGGGCTGAAAGTTTAGCTTTTTACTTGTCATGTTGACTTTGAGCATTTCAAAATTATTTTATAAAAACTAAAAGAACGGTGGATGCTGTAAATCAGGAACAAAAACAAAGTTGCTGGAAAAGCTCAGCAGGTCTGGCAGCATCTGTGAAGGAGAAAGCAGAGTTAACACTTTGGGTCCAGTGACCCTTCCTCAGAACTGCTGAGGAAGGGTCACCAGGCCCGAAACATTAACTCTGTTTTCTCCTTCACAGATGCTGCCAGACCT